GTTTGCTGTGGAGGAACTGATGATGGACTTCCCTTACTGATTAATTAAAGACGTACAACGCCCTCATATCCTACACCTCCACATCTTCCTTCATCCCCCAGGTCTGCCACACCCTCCCTCACATCCTCCAGGTCTGCCACACCCTCCCTCACATCCTCCAGGTCTGCCACACCCTCCCTCACATCCTCCAGGTCTGCCTCATACTCTCGCCACATCTCAACAGTTTAGACCCATCCCGTACCTCCACACTCTTGCACTTCCTCAGGCAACGATGGAGAAAGAGACGTCCAGGTCTGACGGAGCCCTCCCTCACATCCTCCAGGTCTGCCACACCCTCCCTCACATCCTCCAGGTCTGCCACACCCTCCCTCACATCCTCCAGGTCTGCCTCATACTCTCGCCACATCTCAACAGTTTAGACCCATCCCGTACCTCCACAGATGCACTTCCTCAGGCAACGATGGAGAAAGAGACGTGGACGGAGCTGGTGGTTCGGCTCTCGCAGATGTTCTCACAGATGATGGACCCATACCTCGAGTACATTCCAGATTTCCCGCTGGACTGGGAGACCACCCTTGCCTCCGTCGGGATCAACAACAGGCCAATGAGAGCTGTGGTTGTGGGTGCGGCGGCCCTGTCTGTCCCGATGCTGGTTCAGGTGACTAACTATTGTTTGTATACTGTGGATATTGTTTCCTTACCTGCACTGTTAATGAACATTGGTTGTATACCTGCACTGTTTATGAACATTGTTTGTACATTGTCTACTCACACTGTTTGCTGAATTAATGTGAACTTGTATGGCGATTTTACTAGTGTGTGGGTCATGCTGTGTGGATGCTGCTGTAAGATGTGCGTGATGCTGTGAGTGGTGCTTATGGAATGTAGGTTGTGATGCTCTCTCCCTCTGTGTAGCTGTGGTGACCTAAGATATAGTAGTTTGTAATGATTTAAGTTAGCTATACATGACCTAGGAGAGTTTGTGGTTCAGGTGAACAGTCTTGCTCTGCTTGTAATGCATTAACGTGACGTAACTTAATTGGTTGCAGTTGGTGAGGGGACTGATAAACTCGATAGTGGATCTGGTAGACAGTACCCTGTTTGTGACGTCGGGCCAAGGGCTGGGGCGAAGAAGCTTTCTCGACGTTGACGATGAAGGCTTCCTTGAAGACATCATTGACGTACTCCTCAAAATGACCAACCTCGTCACCCGCACACTGAGCAAGTGAGGGCCCTCTCACCACCACCTGGTGCCTGTAGCTTCAGTAACACTTCTGCCATCATCACCACTGCCACCAACTCTGTTAAGGACTGGACGTTTGTCAAATTCCGATCTTATATTACAGAATGGCTGATTACTATTTATGTATCATTCGTCGTTCATTTGAAGGCATTGCCAGATTTTATGAGTTTGTATTGTCATTAAATTATTGTGAGCGAAATGAACTGTTTCTCTAACAAATCATGAGTTTAGTTTTCTCAAATTTACCGGGCAATGTAGTAGGATTTAACGAACTGCCACCGCTCGAAGGTTTATATACATCATTAAAAAGTATACTACAAAAACTTCATACTGTACTCTTATAGTTTGTGCTCGTAACATACTTGTTAGATAAAATAATAGGCCCCAAGTACACACTGCAACGAATTTATAGAAGCTAACCTTAGAATTTAGTATATAACACAGAAAACGTTTAGGGGGGGAAACTTTGGTACTTAATTTCAGATATGACTTCCCCTTATAAAAACTTATCCAGGGAATCTAGAACGTAATACTAAGAACCAGACTAAGTTGTATTGAGACCAGCCAAGTTAGGGGAAGTTTGCGCAGTGAAAAAAGGTCTCCAGATTGACGAGCGTGTTTATAATTGTATTCCTTTGTGGACATAGTTCATACTTTTTTTTTTTTTTTTTTAATTTCATTCTCTTCACCACCGATCGGCCATGTCTCATGCACTGTTGGCAAGTACTGGCTCCTCAATGTAACTGAAGTTCGGAACCTGTTCCAGTGCTGGTTTGGTCTTGAAACTGCTCACACTCGGTGCCGTAACCTCCTATCTTGCAGGTTGTTCCAAGGGTTCAGAAATGTCATTCCAAAAAATTTTTGCCCTCCCAGTTTTCTGGACTTGTGGCTTCAACCCTGATCTGTGATCCATTGTGGGGCGGGCGTCCGCCAGCTCCAGGTATGGACACTTAATCTGAGTAGTGCCCTCCGAGATGTTTATACAGTTCAATTTGGTCACCCCTTGCCTGTCTGTAGTATAAGATAAGCAGTTGCATGCGCTTTAATCTCATCTGAAGTGGCCAGATGTAATATGATAGTGAAGGAAACACGACTGAGAGATGGAGCTTTATTCCTGACGGTCCCAGTACAATGCGCTATGGCACCCCACTTGTAACGGATACACAAGATGATTACGTGCCATTAATCACCCAGCATTGCTTTCAGTCAGTCTTCAATCCTCGCCAAGGCATTCCACGAATTCTGTAGTCTAGTTTAATTTTCAGGCTTTCGTGAGGTACGCTATACATACCTTGGCCAAGTCAAGGTATATATCAAAATTACCACCACACTTCAGGGTCTGTCCACACACCCTACACCTTAAGCTATTACGTCAAGGGAGCATCCGGACATAAAACTACTGACATTCATTCACGAGGTTGTTCCGTTGTAAAGGTTCCATTCGAAGGAACAGGAATCAACAGACAACCGTGAAGCTCTATTGTTCCTGAAACTACAGCTGTTGGTCTCACAGTCTATAAAGTTATAGTACACGGGTAGGTTTGAAGAAATTATTTGGTGGTGGTGGAGTGTCATTTTTTCGGAAAACTTGTAGCTTTGGCCGTCCACCTCGCCGGGTCGAGTCATATGCCCCCAGGCCAAGAAGCGAATCCCTCCTGGTGACGTAATCCCTGACTACCGTCCCTGCAATTCCACTGCCCGCACATTATAGCTACATGCACAACTAAAAGCATATACATCAACATACATCAAGCAAATATTATGGAGAAATGAACGAAAGCAGTTGTGATTATTGGCACGAAATCATCATCCGTACCTGTCACAAGCGGGGTACCACAGTGCCCGCTGTTTGCTGGTTTCATAAATGACATGGCTGACGTTGTACACTCTTCCATACAAATGTTTGCCGATGACGCCGAGTTATTTCGGGAAATCAAGAACCAAGCGGACTGTGAAGAGCTGCAGAATGACCTGTGAACTCCAAGAATGGTCGAAGAAATGGCTGCCGAGATTCAACGTCACGAAGTGTAAGAGGGTGCACCTGGGGCGAACCAACGGTAAGGAGGCGTATCCTATGTCCCAACAGAATGAAGAAACTTCTGAGACTGAATGCGAGAAGGACCTAGGTGTGTATGTTGACAATGAGCTGAAGTTCTCGGGCCATTGCGAGAAGGTAAATCAGGAAAAGAAATTGGGTCTTTATAAGAAGGTCGTTCAGATATCTAGACGGTCCGTCCCTCGTAATGATCTTCAAGATTAAAGTGCTTCCCCCATCTGGAGTACTGTCACCCGTCTGGTCCCCGAGATATGCTTGGGACTGTAAGTTGGTTGAAAATGTTCAGAGGGCCACCAGACGGGTGCCTGCACTACGGCACCTCAACTACCCTGAAAGATTGGAGCGCCTGAACTTGCCTAGCTTATACTACAGACGGGCAAGGGGTGACCTAATTTAGGTGTACAAGCATCCCAGGGGGCTGGTTTGACCGTTTGCTGCAAGAAGTCTATAGAAGATGTTGGGGTCCATTCTCATGTAGTCTCGTGTTCACCTTGCAGTTCACGTAAAATCGTGGCATGACTTCCCTTAACTTTACGTTGAGAACCATTCCCTTTTGTTTTTTCTTTTTGCACACTGTAGCAATTATTATACACCGCGCTATAGGTTTCGATTTAACTGTCCTGCAACACACCACGGTGATCGTACCGCAGCAGCTACTGCCGACCACCTACCAGCGGCAGAGTGTGACTGCTGCCAACCAGCACCGTGTGTACGACGACACACAGGCTTTGCCCGGTAAACGGGCAAAGTCCGCCGGGCACTGTTCAATCGTGTGGACGGGGCTTTACGGACCTTTATCAGTCCTTCAACAGTATTTCTAATACCCTTTTCTGTGAAGACAATGTGGGACAGTGCGGTGTCGAACCGTCCGTCCTCAAATGCAGGAATGTTAATCGCATCCTCTTTCGTGAACACTGAGGAAAAGAAGCTGTTCACTGCCTCAGCTATATCCTGTTCAGAAAATGCGTAACTGCCATCTTCAAGTCTGATACTCCTACCCGCATTTTAAGTTACGACTTTGCATAGCGGTAAAACTACATCTCAGATTGTTGGGCACAACACTAGTCAAGATTAGCCGATAAAAATAACAATTTATACACCAAGGCGACTTACTGCTCGCTAATTATTTTACCACCATGTTAAGTGAAGCGGTTCTACACGAAAGATTTTATCAACGAGCGTGTACTGGCGTTGTCCATTTTAGAGCAATTTATTTATAGTGGGAAAAACCAATATAGGCAATTTCTATTAAATTTGGCAATTAATTATCAGAGTATCAATAATATAATTTATTGGCTACAGCGTCTACAATGTTTGACTCTTATTAGATATGGTTTTGTCTACACCACATAACCAAAAACTTCTACTTTTGTCACCTGCAATTAATTACTTCTGGTCATACAATACAGTGGTCTTACAACTAGAGAAGACTTGTATTACGGTCTAGTGTTCCAATATGTTGAGCTGCGTGATGGCTAGTTAATGTTAGCTCATCAGTGCAACTCCCCCAATATATATATATATATATATTATATATATATATATATATATATATATATATATATATATTAAAATAATCAAGGAGTTTCATTCGAGTCACTTTAGTAGCCTTCCGGTTATAATCAAAGTTCATTCAACGTTAAGAACACTACATGTCCACTGGAAATATTTGTTCTTTTCTAGTGGGTGAGACAAGTCAAGTTATCCAAATTATTTATTTTACATTCTTTGAACTACAGGGCATGGCAATATTTAACACATGGAACGGTGTTGAACACATTTAACTGCTAGTAGTAGGTGGCAGGGACGAACTGCACATTAGTTACGAAGCGTCTATCAACCAAAGTGCTGGTAGCAGTTGCGATGTTGGTCCTCACAAACGTCGCAGTCACGAATTCCCTGCAACACATTAGGAGTCATTGCCAAAACAGTCATTGCATAATTACCACGGGTAATTTGTAGAGCAATAAACTAAACTGGCAGCTTGACAAAAACAGATAAGTTTAAAATAACCAATATATACACCAGCAGATGCAACTTACCTCTGTACGATGTTAGAGGTGAAGGTGGAGTGCACGATGTCGTAAGCAGTGTGAATGACTGGGACTATCTCGGTGGAGGTCTGCGTCACGAAGCGGAAGTCCGTGTTAACGTTGGTGACCGTCAGTGTGGAGGTGCTGGCGAACAGGACCGTTGTGACCTTTACTAATGCGTCCACTGGCGTTAACAATACCTGCAAAAACAGACAAATTACAGGTAAGGCACTTTAAATTAAGTAACACTCCATCCGCTTCACAAAATTGTCTACAGATTTTTAGCATACGGTTCAAAGTAAAGTTAATAAAAAGATCCCAAAGTACTGGTCAACATTTATGAATCCTGCTAAGAACTTTTAAAAAATTACCCAATTCCTACCAAGTTAACCCTAAACTTTCTGTAAACAACAGTGTTAATCAAAATTTACAATCTTTGAAATGTATGCAGATACATCCTTTCTCTTTGGTTAACTAAAAGTTCCGGGCATAACTTATGGTTATAACTTTACTTGCACAATAAAAAACTCGCCTGCCGTGTTGTCAGTGTCACAGTTGGTAGATGGAACTCGGTAATGGTGACAGAGACTCTGTTGAAGGCTAGGTCAGTGGTGGTGACGAATCTGTCAACGGTTCTGGTTTGCGTCACAGTCACCTCTCGACCCTGCTGCTGCTGCTGGCCCACAAACACCTTGCCGCCCACCTGTCCTGCCTGACTAACAGTCACAGGTTGACGGTCACTTCCCACAAAGTTACCGCCCTGGAACCCACCACTACCAGTCTGGCTATCGTCTGGGCCCACTACCAAAGCTCCACTGCCGCCCAAGATACCCAGAAAGCCACTGCTGCCGGTCTGGAAGCCACCGTCTCGGTCTACTACAATATCACCGCTGCCGAGTCTACTCTGGAATCCTCCACTGCCGGTCTGAAACCCACTGCGGTCTCCCTGGAATCCTCCACTGCCGGTCTGAAACCCACTGCGGTCTCCCTGGAATCCTCCACTGCCGGTCTGAAACCCACTGCGGTCTCCCTGGAATACACCGCTGCCGTCTTGACCCACTACGAAGAGCTTCCTACCACCACTGTTGCCCTGGAATCCTCCGCTGCCAGTCTGAAACCCACTGCGGTCTCCCTGGAATCCTCCACTGCCGGTCTGAAACCCACTGCGGTCTCCCTGGAATCCTCCACTGCCGGTCTGAAACCCACTGCGGTCTCCCTGGAATCCTCCACTGCCGTCTTGACCCACTACGAAGACATCCCTGCCACCATTGTTGCCCTGGAATCCTCCATTGCCTCCCTGGAATGGAGAACCAGATTGTCCCAATATGATGGGTCCACGGCTGCTCCCCTGTTATAAAACAGATTTTACGTGTGAGAATCTTAAAGAACTCGCTCTCTAAACTATCTTGACTCCAATTAAAAAAAATGCGTTATTCTAAAACCTAACATGTTTAGGAAGAAGCCAAGAAACCTGTAAACCCTATTTTATAATACTAGATTAATACCCAACAACATTGTTACTCCAGAACCAGTGTTGATAATCTGTTTTCTTATAGACTCCCAGCACTGAAATACAAAGACTGATCCAGGTCTAGTTTACCGGTTCGCGGGAATTTGAAGGCCAAGGTTTTAGAAATTTTATTTAACGCCGATATGACTTTTTGAGAACTTCACCATAATCATTAAGCCGTACATTCTCTTGTTACAAAGAGATGCATTTCACCTGTACATGTCCCAGTCAGTTGACAAATTACGTAGATTAACTTTAATCGCATCCCCATTCTAAGCAAGAGGAGTCTTAACATGAATTCAACCGACCCCAGAAAAGAGCGAGAAGAAAAACCAACATAAATCCAACCCCCACGAGGAATGACATAGGTTTCGTACACTTTGGAGTTTATTACCAACCCCAACACGTCGTCCCTGGTTGGAGATAGAGCCACCATCTGATGACGTAACTGCTACCACCATCACCACGGCAGCCAAGAACAAATACTCCATCTGAAAACCATTAATAATGTTTCTGCAATTGTTAATCTTTAGCATAACCGCTGGATTAGATGCAGATACTATAAAAGTTTTCAGACAACCATTACAACAATCCGATAGAAAGTGTTCAGTACAAAAGCGATTGAAAAAAATATCTTTCAGGACTTTACACAAATCACTATTGGATCAGCACCTACAGAACCTATTTATTTGTAGTACCTGGTTTCTTGTTTATATAAACCTTACCTTGGTATATAGAGTGAGGTGTGTGCGGTGAGTGGAGGCAAAGAGGACTGGTTGACCACACACAACCCACCCTCCTCATAGCCTCGGTGAGTCCGGCCAACGACCAGTATAGGGTAGTTAACACGCCCACCACTTGCTCCCTGGTTGCACTCTTACACCAGGGATGATTTACCCTCTAAATATAGAGAGGTAAATCTCATATAATTTTTTATTGTTCTTGGACTTGTGTAATTACTAAACAGTTACACATTTACATATCTTAGTTGTTGAAGCGCAGTAATACTCTTATACTGTAATGACAATCCCCTCTAAAAGCCGGGATCACGTGAGGATTAGACAACCTTGCTTATTTATGATTTAATATCATAACCCTACCTAGGGAGAATTAGATTAGGCTATATTAGCACTGGGGTGTTTAATCATCAGGTGAAATAGCTCTCTGCGATCCCTGATTTTCACAGGATCCACAGGCTGAATCGATTTGAATGAGTTGACGTGTATAACTTTCAATTAAATAAGACCAACTTAAACTGTTTAAAATTATGGACATATACTGAACTGTGGTAATGAATCAAGTGTGGGACATAGCTGACCGGGGTTTGGTAAGACTAACTTAGAAAAAGGAGAGCAAAAGATTAATAAAAATAAATTAGCATTCACAGGTGGATGGTTAAGGAACGAGGAAACACTAAAAACGAGGGTGATAGACATTCAGGAAGCACCATAGTACTGTACGCGAATAAAAACTAAAGTCGAAAAGCGGGTCAAACGTGAAATTCCAAGCACCCAGGGGCGTTTCCTTAGCTGCACCATACCCCTACCCCCCTTCTGTCCAAAAGAGTCATAGTCAATAATATGCTACATACTTGAGAGGTCATATTTTTATTTATGAGACATTCTACGGTGCTACTAGATGGTTAGGTTAGGTTATACTAAAAATATTTTTTTCGACTGAGCGCTATACTAGCACCGATTCTACTATCACAACATGATAATAAGTAAAAATTATCATTGTTTTCACCCAAGATAAAACACTTGCATGGCTATTGATCAATTTTTTTTTGCTAGATGGTGAAAGTTCCTCACAAGGCGGTCAATGAAGGCAAATAAAATATGCTCATGAAGTGTCATACATACTTATTTAAAAAATTGAGCCTTGCTCCATATATTATAAGCTATATGGGTCTTCATATGACGGATAAGGATCCAACTCACTAGAAATGAGCAACTGATAACTGTCGGCTATCCTTGGCCACGTTTACTATTGTTGTGCAGTATACTGTACGTGCACTGTCCTGTCTAGGTGCTTAGGTTAAAGAAGCCGTCCAGAAGACTTTCTGGACCGACAAACATTTTTCAATAAATTATCAGAGAATTTTGTAACGACACCAAGTATGGTCTTATTAAGACCAGACTAGACCAACACTGCTGGTATAGGGTCAGATTGTCGGCTACAGTATGTAACCAGTACCTGTCCATTGCCTAGTACTTCGCAACAATAGCGGCGAGACCGACAACCCAAGTGGTTAAAAGGTCGGCCAGTGGCGAAGAAGACAAAATAAATTGGAAATTCTATACAGTACCAGCAAGGGCTATGTATTGTACACCATACTTTGGTTGTGTTTACATATCCGGAACTGTATACCTGTATAATCTATATACATGACAAGTCAACTATAAACTTACATGACGGCTTTTACTGAATAAATAATAATTTATTAGGTTTAACAAACGTCAGCTGTTGATGTAATTCAGTACAGTATTTGTTTGCCTTAGGAAATTCTACGTCATCTAAACTCCTGAGACAACCTTGTGTTCGGGTGTTGCTTCTGAGGCGGTGTTATATATACTATTCTATGGTACATAATTTTATAAATTTGTTGATTTTAAGATTTTTTGTATTTACTTTTTAATAGTTTAAATATTCATGCTCTCTATACAATAACTAAAGACAGATCTAATTATTTTAACTTTATTATACATAAGAGGAATCGGACAAAAAAGCGGAAGTTGGCAATAGATGGCAGCACCAGCAGTGGGTCATGGCCTTGTTCACACCGCCACACAATATTCAGACACTCTTCCTCTCAACACTAATTTCCAGAATACAGCGCTGTGATTGGTCCAATTCCCAGAGACAAGTCAGACACTGAATATATTTTACTTATCAAACGCGTTATGTATTTTGTTTCCGGCCACGTATTTTAGCAGAAGACGCTGTGTGACTGTCAAAGTTACAGAAGATCAGTATCCCGTATTATTAGGCCATTTTACCTGAACCTTAGGGAAGTAATTATGAGCAGGTGATACCCTAGGAGTGAACAAGGTCGGTGGTAGTGAGAGTGAGACAGACAAGATGGAGAGGATGTGGTTATTTGTGGTGGTGTTGGTGAGCTGGATGGCTATGACCGCCGGGGTGGAGTTAACATTTGAACTCCCAGACAACGCCAAAGAATGTTTTTTCGAGGATATAGAAAAGGGTACAGAATCGACATTAGAGTTTCAGGTGAGCTTTTCTGTAAATTTTGGTAGGCACAGATACTGGGGTTCCTTATGCGAGTTTATGGTCTGGGGTATACAGGGGTGCCATAGGGAAGGTTTCAGGTAATACAGTACAAGTGGGAAGGTTTCAGGTAATACAGTACAGTATGGTAAAGATTTAGTAGAGGACGTGGACGGGAATCCTTATTAAAATAGGTTCTTTTTATAATTGATTACTTAACAGCTGGAGGAAGATCTATTCTGTGCCAGTGCCATTCCATGCTTAGTGGAGGCAGATCAAATTTACTCAGTGAACTGTTGAACCACCAAAGTTGTAAGAATTTTCGTAACCTTCGAATTGAAGTAACTCCCCAAACTATAAATTTCTGCCCAAAAATGCAATAGAATACAGTATTTTCAATTTTTGGCTCTTATCATACAATAATATATACTATGCAACTATTTAGCTTCCCGTCCTACAGTACAGTATTGTAAATTAGCCACTAACATGAATGAATTTTTCTATAGAAGATAAATATTTTTTACCTCCAGAAAATCACACAAAATAATAAGGATCTGCATTTACTTAACATAGTCTTTTGGCAGAGATTAATTACACAGATCTCTTCTTTTTTTTCACAATGGCCAAGATTTCAATTATTCTCAAGAAACTACCTAACCAAACTTAGAGCAAGACGTGACAAATGCATTTTCTCAGACTTCATAAGAGATATCATTAGATTTGTCCATTGATTAGCCAAGGTGTAGTTTTTTATCTTTTTTGTTTTGAACACAAATCTACATAGATATACTGTGACTCCTCATTTACTGTTTACCTGCAATGTTACCAGTTACTTCTACATCATTCAGTATATGATTTATCAATATTTTCATCTGGCAAGTGCTAGACGATTGCACTCACCTGAGGAAACCTGTCGCTATTGTCAAAGCATTATTCTGCATTGTAATCCTCCCAAATGAGATACTGTACTGTACATTCCCTCCTCACCCCCATTTACCCTCCACTAAAAGACGACTACCCCAACACTTCCCTACCCTCTCCCTCACTGGGTGAATGCTTCCATTTTTAGAGTTCAGTGTTTGGGGTTCAGACCTAAGGGGGGAGAGGATTGACATGCTAAGTGGTAAAGTCAGGAGTGGAGCCAACTGTACAATCTCCATTGTTACAAAGGTGATAACGGTGGTATGTTTTACTCAATACAGTATTGCTACATCTTTTGATTAAATATTGAAAAAAATTAACCACCCTAACCAAATCATTCCTAACCTGAAACATTGGTTTTTATTACCTAAAAAAAAATTGTCTACGAAAGAACCGTTCAGAAAACTCGGAGGAACTGACTATGGCTACCAGACCTGACCAAACATACTAAACCTAATCTAAACTAATGGAGCTATTTTCTTTTATCATCTTAGAAAAAAAAAACCCCACTTTACTGACTTCAGAGTAGTGGAGAGGGAGTCTGTGGCTGTATTGGAGGGAGCACCTGTCTAATTGTTAGAGAAAAAAATAAATAAATTGGACAAAATTAATATTTTTCATATTTAATTTCAATTAGACATCTGAATCACACAAGTTTAGTTATTCCATCTGTTTTGTAATTTAATTCTTTCATAGTTCCATGTTACAGGTATTTATATACTACTTATGGTGAGAACATTACAAATAAAAAATACTGCTGAAAGTCTTGAAGGTCACTCTTCAACCAAGAGTCATGAGAATTGGAAATCTTCCTTACTCTATCTGTACAGAATATTTTATACGTACCAATATGTTGTCATGAACATCTCGCAATTATTTTGGATGACACGTTGGAAGATGACTTATGCCTAAATCTTATAACAGGTAGTAACTGGAGGGCACTATGATGTAGACGTTGTTCTAGAAGGACCAGCTCGGCAGATCCTTTACAGAGAGATTAAACAGCAGTATGGCCAGTTCCAGTTTACTCCAGAGATCACTGGCACCTACCAGGTATGTAGTTATTGTCTGTCCACCTGCATGTTACAAAACTAGAGGCCAGTATTTATGAATTAAACTTTTAACTTTAGTTAAAGCCTGCAGATTTAGTTCCAATAGGTTATTTGTTATTTAGTGTTAGGTATGTTGATGTTTTGAAATTCTTTTTACAGGTGTGCTTCAGTAATGAGTTTTCAACTTTTAGTCATAAGCTCATCTACGTAGATTTTCAAGTAGGCGATGAGCCTCAGTTACCTGGAGTGGGAGAACACTTTACTGCAATGACTCAGGTGAGTTTGTCATATTTATGTATATTTACTTAATTCTCATGCTGTATTAAGAATGCCTTATCAACCACATCTATAAGTTATATTATAAAATTTAAATCCATTTACAGATGGAGTCATCCTCACAAAAGATTCATGAGGATCTAAACTCCGTTATAGACTACCAGACCCATCACCGTTTACGTGAAGCTCAGAGCCGCAAGAGAGGAGAGGATCTCAATGAGCGAGTGCTCTTCTGGGCTGTTGGGGAGACCCTGGGGATTCTGGTAATCACTGTGGGTCAGGTGATGGTTCTCAAGAACTTCTTTGCTGACAAGAAGACTAATCAAGCTGCTTACTAAACTTCAAGTCAGTTATGTTAAACAGTTAGATAATTTATTTGCTTCTAAAGAAGAACAGAGATGCCAGCTTCAGAAAAATCATTTTACAACACCATTTTTCCTTAATCACTTACTATTATGCTGCAGTTAAAATACAATCTAGTTTCATAAAAATTTATAACCTGTTTCAACTTCAGTAGTGTGGTTTTATCTTACATCAGTAACAACAAAGTTAAAGTTAAGAAATTTCATAAGTTTTAATTACTGATGATTAAGGATTTGCATCTCCCACATTCAAAACATCCAATTTCACTTTAGATCTTTTCATTTCTCAAACTAGAAGTAAATGCTTTTAACATACACCAATATTCCATTTATATGAGCATCTGTTAATTCGTATTAAAATCCTGACAAGAAGACTTCTATAAGTACTTACCAATATTTATCACACATTGCTTTATCATTCATATGTAATATCACAAACTGACATCTTTTAGGCCTTTCATCAAACCTTCGATTCCCTAATACATGCATCCAGTAATGCATTAATTTGAGAAGAATTAAGGAAAAGAACTAACCTGAGCTGTATTTTTTAGGATATGGATTTAAAATTTGTTTTGCCCGAATCCGTTGATAGTAAGGAGTTGCTGGATCTGACACTGAAGTTGCACATGTATGGGATAATTCTTGTCCCAGGATAGTTTTTGCTGTTCAAATTTATATGTATTAAAATAGATATAGACATTGTAAAGTTATTCAGAAGCCAGCAATCTAGCTGGGTTTTTGTGTTGTGTGGAGACATAGCAGAGTATTGATTGAGGTCAACGAGTAAGGGTCAGTTGCATCAACTGTCACTGTAAGACAATACTGTATTACATATAAGACCTCGATGTATATGTATTTGTTAAAAGTCGTGAGTGGTTATCTTATTTTAAGAGTTAGCTTCTTTACTTTGGGTAAGCTATTTGAACATTAAAATTTTGAATGAAGGAAGTTTTTTTTTTTGCTCTACTTCAGGAAAAAATTATATTGAATGTAAAGATTGTACAGGCTATCTCTTAAGGTAATTACTTTGATTATTAAGAGGTAAAATAGTTTTGGTTGTGTGAGAGATCTGTAAATACAGAAACGTGTTATATTTGAATGGAAGATATATTTAAGCGATAATTTTGAGTCTAGGGGGTACTGATATGTGGCTCACACAAGACTTGGCAGCCTATTAACCCTGACTATGGTACAATTAACAGCAAGGTAACTTTATTAAACTGATTCTTCAGTAAATTCCATCACAAGGTGTGTAATCTTATTCAAATTTTCATGGTGTATGTGCGCATTATTAACATACTCATTGCTAGTTTTTTAAGTTGATGGAATTCTTTTCTATTTCATTATTGTACTTGTACGGTATAAAATGAGAAATCTTGTCAAAGCATTTTGACATTGTGTGATGTAGTGTGGTGATAAATTATTGTTTTTGTATGTACTATCTTAATAAAATATGAGTTTAAAAAGTATAATAATTAGTAATGGTTCCTGAAGTACATAATTTTTGTCAAATTATCATAAGAGTAAAGGTAGCCTATTGGTCAGGTATTTTTGGGGTCTTTGAACCTGAGAGAATTACAAAGTGCAGAAAAAATCTTTGGGTAACAAAAAAAAACAAACAATGAATTCAACAAGTAGTGGTGCACCAAATATTGTTAACACATTTTAACTATAACCATGTACAGTATATATGAAAGAACGCTCCTAACTCAAAGTACGAATGTGAAATTTATGTTAAACATTTATAAACAAATCTACATTTAAAATAAACCACTATATACAAAAACACACACACCATTATATTAGAGCAAGTTATCTGCTTTGGGTTTGACACATTAAATATTTCATTCTGTATTTCTAGTCAACCTCTCCATGAAAACTTGTCCTTTTTTTTTTCCATCAATACTCTTCAAAATTTTCCTTCCAACTACTAACTCACTCTCTTCCGTTTGTTAATATTTCCTTATTTTGTCTCTTATCCCCGTGCAATTAATACAAATCACCGCTTAACCTTCTAACTCATTCCTTAGTCTTTCCTTCCCAAGAATCTTGCACCATTTTCTTCTTTTATTCTCCGGTATAGTCACATTTTCTCCTATCCTACAGATTTACTTTTTTTTCAATCTCTCTCTTATCTACATTCCACCCTGCACTTGCCCTTTCCCATATCTCCACAAAGACTCTCCTGCCTCAATTATACCCTTGCAAAATTTTCCCACAGCTTCTTTGTCCTTGTTAAATTATTTTTCCCCCACAGCCTCTTAATTCCCTATGTTCCTGGATTTACTTTTGTTTAATGTCTGTTTACCCCAGGTCTCCCACTTTACTCTTATCACTTCTGTTCCTGTTTACTATGGCTTGTCGACCCACCATATCTTACTTTAATAAGTGTTGGGGATCTTGGCCAAGCTGTGAGCTGCATTATTGTTCTTATTCAACTCATAGTTTTAGGTAAATATTTTTTTTTTTCTGTTACATGTCCACACAATCATTCATACAGAAAGCAAAAAAAAAAGGGAGGAAGTTAGCCCACAATCTTGGGAGGGGGGAGCATGGTCCTTACTATTTTATCTTTTTTATTTATTATTTTTACTCATTCCTCACATTTATAGAGGAATACATTAGACAACGGAGAGATAAAGGCACCACACGAATCCGTTGATACCGAAATTCAATGCCGCAGTTGGCGAAATGGTTGGTAAAATTTACGGATACCCAGAAATCACGGATGAGAAATCAGCGGTTGGTGAGGATCTACCATAATCTGATCCTGTCCTCAATCCTTTTATTACAGTTGCATACTTTATTCTTCTCACTAGGATTTTGAAAGTAGGAGTCCAGGAGTCTCTACTTTTAAGATGCATTTTCATTTGGTTTTTGCAAACATGTGCAACAGTTTTATATTGTATACTGTAATACTGTATACAGATACAGAGTTGCCAATTAAACCCCCTAAACGTTTGGGTGGGTTTTATTGAGTTTTAAATGTTTACCTTCTGTCAAGATATTTTTCATTGTACTGTATGTAGAACAGAAGAGTATTTAGGTAAGTACTGTACAGTACAGTATACATTAAGAGGGTTTTTAGTTCCCTAGTAGACAAATTAAAACAAAACAAAAAAAACAACTGGATAAAGTGAAATTATTTCATGATGATTAAAAATTAAGTTTAACAAGATATATTTATTGTATTTACAAATGTTATGGTGCTGGCAGGTTACAGATTGGACTAAATGAATATAAGCATGTTCAGGATATTAATGATGTCTCGTTTAAAAACCTTACCATGCTACAAGAATACTGTTGGAAAGGACAATATTTTCAGGGCACACATCATTGTACAAATAAAATTTATAACGTTTGTTCGTATTAAAGGTTATTGTGCATTTGACTTTAAAACACTAATGATGTGTAATAATAATGCTACAAAATATATACAGATGTGTTACTGTTTGATGAAACAATCACACCTTCCATATTCAGTTGTGTAGGCAACACTACACTGGTACTGATCGTGGAGTTATAGTACTGGACTGTCACACTCCAGTTTCATTGTATAGTAATGATAATTTCCATGATATTTCTATATTTGACAAGTAATAAGTAATTTGTGCTGCTATCTTGTGGGACCATGATATTTCTATATTTGACAAGTACAGTAATAAATAATTTGTGCTGCTATCTTGTGGGACCTTGCACTATGAAGAAACCTTATGGGACTTAAGATTGTGAAGAAAACATTAAAGAGTATCTTGCTGTGTTTCCCAATACAGTATTTTAGAAATACATACACAAACATGCCAGATTCAGCATTTCCAAGAACCTTGATACAGGCACTTCTTTTGCCTTGTATGGTAATCCCGTTGAAGTAGAACCTCTTTTATCCAGAATGGTCAGGACTACAATAAGGGCAATCCAGATAAACTATATTAATGGCTACTGGATAGCAAAATATAATAATCAGTTTTATGCATTTATACACATTTATTCTACATAACAAATATACTATATTCTATAATAAATTATATTGTATGTACAGTCGGCCCTTAACATACGCGGGTTTATAATACACGGATTTGCAAATACGCGGATTGCCCCGCCGGAGGAATATTCTGTACATTGAAGTAATTGAAGTACATTCAAATAGCGCGCCATTCAACTCGCGCGCGGCACCGAACACGGGACACCGCCCGCTCCTGCAACCTCACACACACACGCATAGCTCTCCCTCACTCAGTCAGTCTCGCTGTAACCACGCTTGTGTTGACATCAGCATTGTAGTTGCAAAAATATTACATCTCCGTGAATGTATTATATCAAGCACAGTATGAATAGAATATCACTAATATAAGAGTATTTTAACCAAAAACTACTAAAAAAACGAGTAACATATCTTGAACATCGGAAGGTTAGGTAAAGTCTCTTGTTTTCGTCATGTATTTTATCCTATTTTACATTGAAATACATCACGTTTCAGCAAAACTACTATTTATTTCTGAGAATATATTCATTCAGGCACAGTTTAGGTAAAATATACATGTGCTGTAACATTTTTTTAATTGAAAACGATTCGAAAAACACGTACCCTCTAACCCTGTTCAAGGAGAAGACTGGGAGGAGCTGTTTGGTGCTCAAGACGAAGACAAGGAAAATGATTTTGATGGATTTTAATGAAAATATTCAGAAAGACCCTGGCACTGTCAAGGAAAGTGGCTGCTGAAGGCTTCCAGGACATGGCAGAGGACGAGATTAGGGAGCTAATTGAAGAGCACGACACTGAGCTGACCGAGGAGGATCTACAGGAGTTAGTAGACTCAGGCAAGGAAGAGGAAGAGGAAGAGCACCAAGAAATAACGTTAGAGAAGTTGGGGGAGATGACCAGGAATATTGAGGCACTGAAAAACCTGGCCTATAGTATGGACCCCTCCATGGTGCGTGCCCTAAAATTCATACGAGGGATGGATGACATTTTCGCTCCATACAAAAACATCATGGAAGAAATGAATGAAAGAGACGACAACTCCCCATCACCATGTTCTTTGATCACCGAAGGAGAGATTTAACACCAATCACTGGCGGCAGTGAGGAAGCAGCTGAATCCACCGTCGCCCCCACTTCACCACCCATTATGGAATTGAGTGACGATGAGCCCGATGACCCCCGTCCTGTCGCTGAGGATAGGAACTGTACAGTAAAGTGAAATTTTTATCTCTTTTTTTTTAATAGCTTTTCTTGCCATGTTTCAATTTATTTTTTTCTCAAATTGCATTTAATTTTATCCTGTCTGCTTGGTTACAAACCTACACCAACATTAAAATATCGCCATCACCATTTTCCATGCTTGCCTGAGTTAGCCGTAATTACCTGATGGTGTAGTGTCCAGGTTGTCATCAGGCAAGTTTTATGGCTGGACACCCTTCCTATCGTCAATCCTCTTTTACAGAGTGGGAACTGGGCATTATGTATTGGACTTTTGAGCACACACATTGGTAAAAGGCAAGGTTGATGTTCCTCAGTATAGTAGATTACCTGCCTACCTGCAAAATCTTTTCACACCATTCTCCTTTGCAACTTACAAACTCAGTGGTAACTCACCTGTGTGTCCTCTTTGAGCATGTCAGGATCTGACTCGTAGCATTCAACATACATACGGACTGTTGTGGTACATGAGCTCCCCGTACCACTCAGTCGGAACACAATTCGGGACTCAGTCATCAGAATACGCACACCCTGTAATGTTACTTCACTATTAAATTTTTTTGTCACCATACGGAGAAAATTCCGTAAATTATAAACCCCCCAAAAATGTGTGGGAGTATCAGCACAAATATACGTACCATCTCGGTGAAAGAAAAGACCTAAGTACTTCTGTATAGTGTACAACAGGAAACTAACCTGTTTTTTGGTTACAGTGCCATCAATAGGATCTTTGTTATCAAAGACATCCATTTTGGCAACAGTGAAAGTAACAGTGAAGTTATTCTTCTGCTGATGACAAAACTGTTTATTCACCATAGATCCATCATCACACATGGTTTCCAAAGCTGCCATCATCTTGGTACAAGAAGCAGTGTCACAATTTGCATAGTCGTACCTACCAATTGAAGAACATATTTATAATAAATTGGTGTTCACACTGATTAAAAAAAAAAAAAAAAAAAAAATTAATACCTAATAACATATATATATATATATATATATATATATATATATATATATATATATATATATATATATATATATATATATATATATATATATATATATATATATATATATATATATATATATATATATAACCCGACTACAATTTGTGGACCAGGAATCACTCAATCTTATTAACTTACTACACCCTGTACCTGTATTTGAGGGAGAAAAAAATCAGAACATTTGGAAGCCTAATATCTTCTCTTTATAATCAGGTTACTATTGTACAGTACAGGTATCTCAAAAAATTACCAGCCAGGATGGGTCCGGTGACTTCTGAAATGCTACAAGCAACTCGCGATGTCCCGGAAGGGTTGGTATGCATGGCTCTGTGGCATACTGATCCTACTATATTTGGTAACTTTACGTCATATTAATTATGCCCAAATAAATACACATTGTATTACTTAAGTTAAACTATACATTACAGGGCAGGAATGTGCATATCCCAATATCTATTATTTGTGGTCTCAATGTTTCACACAGTGTGGACAGATACTTTTTTGAGGTACTGTACAATACTGTACTACAGGTATTATGATACCACGTAATAATACGAACACAGTAAAAAATATAGTTTTACATTTATTCAGTATACTGTATAGTCAAATGGTCACCTTACACTTAAACCGTTTCATTGACAGGTTTTTTAAACTGGCAATTTAGTCAACCTAGTGGTCACACATGCAAAAAATATCTTTTACAGACATGCTGACCGCATTGTGAGTTATGTTCCTGGATGGCAAAAAGAGACTGCAAGAGTGTTTACCATAATCTATTGCAAGTACAATAGTTGGTCTGAAAAACCTCCAATTAATGTGATTTTCAATGCATGAGCAAGGCCAAGTTTCAGTACCAGTAATTAATACGCCTAGTGATGCCACGCATAGTCAAGAATCCATATTTACTTGGAGAATGCATGGCTGAAGATCAAATTCCCACATAACTTTTTCGTTGTTTCAAATGAGGTCTCGTGATTTTTATTGTAGCAATACTTAAATAATTTTAGCTTGTATTTCATGTACAGTATGTAATACATAAAAGATGTTTCAAACTAAGACAATTTTCTGGCATAAATGAGGATAATTTGTGAAGGATACATTCTGAAATAATACTTTTATAACTTCAAAGATCAATACAGGCGACAGAGAATCGTATGAATCGACAACTTTCAAACAGTAAGAACTGTTAACTAGTCTGAATGTTAACTGTCACCATGACAACTGGGTGTTGTCTGTTCTGGTAGACAAAGTTGTTCCTCATAATCAGGTAAAATGGTGTCCAAAGGGACAACCTGTCCTACCACAAGAAACACTTCCAATATACTGACATGCCTATGCTTATTTCAGCACTCCCTCTACTGACATGATATGACTTGCATCATCATGTGTGTAACCTAGATTGCAAAGGAGGTGGCCTCTGATGCCAGAATCACTGTGTTTGTCAAATTCCTATACATACCCCCCTGTATTATAATTACATTACTCATAAGGAATTTGCATACTGGGTGTCTTTGCCCCTTTACTTAACCTGCTAAGCTACATAATCAAATTCTCAACTTCAAAACATCCTTCAATATAATGACTGAAACTGGTTCCCAAATACTCAATAGAATACAGTGTTTATGGGGCATGAATATCCCATTCTACACATTTACCACTGCATACCGAGGCAGACAAGTGCCAGTGCTGGAAAGACATGTGAAACATCTGTGGACAGTCCTGCAGGTCCTGTATCAACCTCTCGAGTCATCTCAGAGCTCACCAACGAATGTGACATCTTTAATAACTCATGTCATTGTATCATAGCTGGATGATTGTCATACTCAATTTCGAGTGACAGCAAAATATATCACAGTGACCTGTTTTTAATATGACTTAGTAGTACTAATGAAATTGCATCTGTTTATAAAGTTTCGTGACTGCACAACCAAGAGATTTGAGAAAAGTCTGGTTGCATGTAGAGATGGATGGATCAATCAACAAGTGTAACACTTTGTTCCTTCCACATTCGTACTGGGGCATAATACATTATAATACTAAAAATAAATGCTGTACAATACCTTGTAAAGAAGTTCCTGCCATACGTTTTCCAGTGTTTTTGCAAGATCTCTTCTACTGTCTGATGATGGGCAGCTGAAATGGACACCCATGCCAGTGCTGACCATATGCCATCCGTCTCTCGGATGTGGTTGCTCCCTGTTCTGTGAAACCAAAGAAATATAATGCTTGTAACAATGGAATTCCTATACCCTGTCCAGTATGTTACTCGCTTCTCAACTTTTATACAATTGATAAATATTGATCAAGCATTAACCTAAAATAACTTATTTCACAGACTACTTCCAATCCTCCTATAATGATAATATATGACTACCTGTAAATACAAATGATAATGATGCAACTCACCCAAAGCTCTCCTCACCACAGATGGAGAGTCGTCCAGCATCCATCAGGTTTCCAAAATATTTCCAGCCAGTGGGAACTTCAAATAATTCCAGCCCTTTTGCCTTGGCAACCCTATGATAAAGACAGTAATACATATTGTAGTACTGTATACTATACAGTATGAATGCTGTAATACATCATAAAAATATCAAAATTTTACTACAAGAAAATTAATATAAGTGACAAAATTACACTAAAACCTGTATGATTGACTGAATCATATTGTCAATAACAAGATTAAATGACAAAATTAATGTATGTATGATTGAATAACTGAGTTCAGTGTTGCAGATAAAAGAAAAATGCAGGTACAAGTATTAACTCGGTGTACAAAAAGTTTGGTGAAATGTCCTCTGGTAACTTCATAAAATAATCAATAAATGGAGATTAAACCTTAAAAAATTGTCTTATCTTAGAGACGAGAACAAACAGGTGAGCCAGGTACAGCCACCTAGACTCCCATAACAGCCATCTTATTATTCTGTAAAGGTAGTCCCCGTAACTAGTACGTTTACCGGGGCTCTTTTACTTTTATCCTCTTCACCACTGACCGGCTCATTAGCCACTTGGCCAATCGGTCACGTCTCTGATATTTTTCCTTTCCTTTTATCCTCTTCACCAAAAGATCGGCTCGCTAGCCGCCCGGGCGATCGGTGACGTCTCTGTCACGCACTGTTGGCAAGTACTGGGCATGCACCGGCTCCTGAATGTACCTGAACCCGCTCCAGTGTTGGTCAAGTCTTGTCTTGAAAAAGCTCACACCCGGTGCCGTCACAACACTTTCTGGTAGATTGTTCCAAGAATTTACAACCCTCACTCCGAAAAAGTTTACCCTCACAGTTTTCTGGACTTGTGGCTTCTTCAATCTTGAGCTGTGACCCCTTGTGGGGCGAGCATCCACCAGCTCCAAGCAAGGACACTCGACTGAGTAGTGCCCCCTGAGATGCTTATACACCTCAACTAGGTCACCCCTTGCCCGTCTGTAGTATAAGCTAGGCAAGTTCAGGCGCTCCAATCTCTCAGGGTAGCTGAGGTGCCGAAGTGCAGGGATCAGTCTGGTGGCCCTCTGATTAATGGCAGCAGAGGGACGAAAACAAAAAATGGCAACAATTGCCTTATATGTGATTAATGGCGGCAATGGGGCGAAAACAAAAAATGGCAACAATTGCCTTATATGTGATTAATGGCGGCAATGGGGCGAAAACAAAAAATGGTTACAATTGCCTTATATGTGATTAATGGCGGCAATGGGGCGAAAACAAAAAATGGTTACAATTGCCTTATATGTGAATAATGGCGGCAATGGCGCGAAAACAAAAAATGGCAACAATTGCCTTATATGTGATTAATGGTAGCAATGAGGCGAAAACAAAAAATGGCAACAATTGCCTTATATAAGATTAATGGCAGCAGAGGGACGAAAACAAAAAATGGCAACAATTGCCTTACTTGTGATTAACGGCAGCAGTGGAAGTGACTGCGTGGGGACAAGGATGTAAACATCGTGGCTGGAAGAGAGAATCGTGACATAGCAAAGGACATCGCTAAGGGTAAATGAAAGTGATATTGTGGAAGAGTAAATGAGGCAAATAAGGAACCGTGAAAGAATATGAAGATATTTTGGGGAATAAAGTGGAAAAAAAAGGTAAACACAAAGGAAAGTGTTTGAATACTGTTAATTATCATCTAAACTATGTCCCATGAGAGTGACAATACCTGTACACAGACAAGCCTCTTCATTACAGGTATTTATCACTTTAATGTTTTCAAGATATGTTTAATCAACCTGTTTACATGTGAGGGATGGTTATAATAAGGTATAATTGGACAGGTAAAGTACACAAATTATGTAAAACATAACTTCACCAACACTTCACCATAATCTTCATAAGTGATACTGACAATTGTGTGGAACATCATAACTTCCTGTGACATTTATTTATTATATAACTGGTGATGGAGCTTAGGACTTTTATGAATTATGTCTCAGATAATATAGATATGATATAAAAAAAATTAATATCACACAAAATCATTTCTAGCAGAGGGACAGTAAGATTACTTTCAGTGAAGATCTATCAGTCGTTACACACGAGACTCAGAGCGTGAAAAAGTCTACGGTGGCAGGCAGCCACGTTTCACTTACTCGCGCTAAAAATTCGTATACAGTATTATAAATTTAAGGTATCTCTCTCTCTGACCTGTAAACCTCAGCCCGCAGATACTAACGTCATGGCCTGGTATATGCTCTCTTTGCCGTATCTCATGGGAAACTCATCGACGGCTATATGCTCGTGGTCGACAAAATCCCCGGATCGAGCATAACAAAGTCCCCTGATCGAGTATGACAAAGCCCCCTGATCGCGTATAACAAAGGCCCCTCATCGCGTATAGCAAAGCCCCTGGTCGAGTATAACAAAGCCCCCTGATCGAGTATATCAAAGGCATCCTAGTCGAGTATAACAACGGTCCCTCATCGAGTATAACAAAGATCCCTGATTAAGTGTAACAAAGGCCCCTGATCGAGTATAACAAAGGCCCCTGATCTAGTATAACAAAGCCCCCTCATCGAGTATAACAAAGTCCCCTGATCGAGTATAACAAAGTCCACTGATCGAGTATAACAAAGCCCCCTGATCGAATATAACAAATTCCCCTGATCAAGTATAACAAAGCCCCGTGGTCGAGTATAACAAAGTCCCCTGGTCGAGTATAACAACGTCCCCTCATCGAGTATAACAAAGTCCCACGAACGAGTATAACAAAGCCCCCCTCAACGAGTACAACAAAGTCCCCTAATTGAGTATATCAAAGCCCCCTGATCGAATATAACAAAGGCCACTCATCGAGTGTAACAAAGGCCACTGATATAGTATAATAAAACCCCTTGATCTAGTATAACAAATCCCCTGATCGAGTATAACTAAAGTCCCCTGACCTAGTATAACAAAGTCCCTGATCTAGTATAACAAAGTCCCCTGATCTAGTATAACAAAGTCCCCTGATCGAGTATAACAAAGTCCCCTGATCGAGTATAAAGAAGTCCCTTGATCGAGTTCGAGTATAACAAAATCCCCTGATCGAGTATAACATGTGATTAATGGCAGCAGTGATTTTCAAACGAAAAATGGTAACAATTGCTTTACATGTGATTAAGCACAAATGAAAGTGTTTGAATACTGTTAATTATCATCTAAACTATGTCCCATGAGAGTGACAATACCTGTACACAGACAAGCCTCTTCATTACAGGTATTTATCACTTTAATGTTTTCAAGATATGTTTAATCAACCTGTTTACATGTGAGGGATGGTTATAATAAGGTATAATTGGACAGGTAAAGTACACAAATTATGTAAAACATAACTTCACCAACACTTCACCATAATCTTCATAAGTGATACTGACAATTGTGTGGAACATCATAACTTCCTGTGACATTTATTTATTATATAACTGGTGATGGAGCTTAGGACTTTTATGAATTATGTCTCAGATAATATAGATATGATATAAAAAAAATTAATATCACACAAAATCATTTCTAGCAGAGGGACAGTAAGATTACTTTCAGTGAAGATCTATCAGTCGTTACACACGAGACTCAGAGCGTGAAAAAGTCTACGGTGGCAGGCAGCCACGTTTCACTTACTCGCGCTAAAAATTCGTATACAGTATTATAAATTTAAGGTATCTCTCTCTCTGACCTGTAAACCTCAGCCCGCAGATACTAACGTCATGGCCTGGTATATGCTCTCTTTGCCGTATCTCATGGGAAACTCATCGACGGCTATATGCTCGTGGTCGACAAAATCCCCGGATCGAGCATAACAAAGTCCCCTGATCGAGTATGACAAAGCCCCCTGATCGCGTATAACAAAGGCCCCTCATCGCGTATAGCAAAGCCCCTGGTCGAGTATAACAAAGCCCCCTGATCGAGTATATCAAAGGCATCCTAGTCGAGTATAACAACGGTCCCTCATCGAGTATAACAAAGATCCCTGATTAAGTGTAACAAAGGCCCCTGATCGAGTATAACAAAGGCCCCTGATCTAGTATAACAAAGCCCCCTCATCGAGTATAACAAAGTCCCCTGATCGAGTATAACAAAGTCCACTGATCGAGTATAACAAAGCCCCCTGATCGAATATAACAAATTCCCCTGATCAAGTATAACAAAGCCCCGTGGTCGAGTATAACAAAGTCCCCTGGTCGAGTATAACAACGTCCCCTCATCGAGTATAACAAAGTCCCACGAACGAGTATAACAAAGCCCCCCTCAACGAGTACAACAAAGTCCCCTAATTGAGTATATCAAAGCCCCCTGATCGAATATAACAAAGGCCACTCATCGAGTGTAACAAAGGCCACTGATATAGTATAATAAAACCCCTTGATCTAGTATAACAAATCCCCTGATCGAGTATAACTAAAGTCCCCTGACCTAGTATAACAAAGTCCCTGATCTAGTATAACAAAGTCCCCTGATCTAGTATAACAAAGTCCCCTGATCGAGTATAACAAAGTCCCCTGATCGAGTATAAAGAAGTCCCTTGATCGAGTTCGAGTATAACAAAATCCCCTGATCGAGTATAACATGTGATTAATGGCAGCAGTGATTTTCAAACGAAAAATGGTAACAATTGCTTTACATGTGATTAAGCACAAATGAAAGTGTTTGAATACTGTTAATTATCATCTAAACTATGTCCCATGAGAGTGACAATACCTGTACACAGACAAGCCTCTTCATTACAGGTATTTATCACTTTAATGTTTTCAAGATATGTTTAATCAACCTGTTTACATGTGAGGGATGGTTATAATAAGGTATAATTGGACAGGTAAAGTACACAAATTATGTAAAACATAACTTCACCAACACTTCACCATAATCTTCATAAGTGATACTGACAATTGTGTGGAACATCATAACTTCCTGTGACATTTATTTATTATATAACTGGTGATGGAGCTTAGGACTTTTATGAATTATGTCTCAGATAATATAGATATGATATAAAAAAAATTAATATCACACAAAATCATTTCTAGCAGAGGGACAGTAAGATTACTTTCAGTGAAGATCTATCAGTCGCTACACGGGACTCAGAGCGTGAAAAAGTCTACGGTAGCAGGCAGCCACGTTTCACTTACTCGCGCTAAAAATTCATA